AAATAAACAGTATATTCACTAATACTTCCAAATAAAAAGCATTTTCTTACTAATGCTCAAAATGTGAACATAAAATATACGAAAACAATGACTGCAATTAAATGCTATGTTTGCAGCAAATCCTGAATTTGGGAAATCTTTATTTTTAACAAATTTCATCGACTTTTGTGTACAAGAAGTGCAGAAGTGGAACGGGTGTCAAGGATTTCACACAATTTAATCAGAATATTATATTCTTAAAATAGACATACAAAATATTCAATTGATTTTATGATCCCAGAAAAATGCATCAGTCTATTTTCAACTTGTGTTTTCCATTTCTATTTCCATTGTGTTTCAAATAAATAGGATTTAAATCAATATTAATATACATTTAATCCGTTTGTGTAATAATGCAAAAACTGGACAAATAATACAAGGATCGCATTGTTTGTACTGTATTGATGTGAATGCATAATAGTGTATAACATCTAAATCCGGTTCAGACTTCAGTGAATAGTTTTCAAATATTTCATTTATATGTGCCATAGTCTAGTCATCAAATTATGACCATATTTACTTACTATTTAATGGATTCATAAACCATGAAATCTTTTGTAACAAATTTCAACAATAATTATATTTAGCATTTAAATGCTTCATTGAAATGATGCAATTAATGACTCAATTTATACATTGCACTCAAAATCAATTAAAACTAATTATTAGTGCAAAACGGAATCATTTGCATAAAACTCGATGAAATGATTTTAAAATAAAACAAAAATTTTAATTATCATAATTTGTCGCGCAAAGTTTTCATTAAGCTATATGCTTAGTAGCAATAAATAATACTAACTGAATAATAAAATTGGTTGAAATTAAAGTAAATTATTGACAAATTTGCAAACATTTTTCATGAGACGGTTTTTCAAGAATTTCAACACATTTTTAATATAAATGTATTGTAATGTAAAAACTGATAGAAATTACACACATTTTTGCAGAAACCGATCGATACGACCAAAGTTCTGCAAAACTCGCGAAACTCACAACAAATTCTCAAATAAATAATTGATTACTGAATGAGTAGTCAATAGTCAACAACTCATTTATTCAATGATTGTCTTCAAAATATACAATCAGTTATGCAATGCTTTGCAATTGCTTTCGTGTTAAAAATGAGTGCTTTTAAGTGGGAAAATATTTATATATAATGAGCGCAAGTAGTTGTAAAAGACTAACCGTTTTAGAAGTGATATTAACTGATGTGAGATAAAGTCGATGCGATTCCCATCGTCTCAGGAATTTAGAGCTCAATATTTTGCTGATGACTGTCCGCTGGTGGTTGAGTCGGCACAAGTGGATGTCCCCCTCATGTATTAGCTTGAATTTAGGGCCCATAGGACTGTTGGGAATGGACTTCGCGGGTGAGTTACAGGTGGAGTGGAAGACCCCTTCGTCGACACTGGACTGACGCGACCACTGATTCACTCCAAACGCGAACGAAGTGGACGACGACGAGGAAGAGGTGGACGAAGAGGACGAGTGTACGTGCGATGAGAGACGACTAGAGGTGACGCGGGCGTCAACGCTGGCACTGGAAGTGATGGACGAGACTCCAGACGAGTGAGTGGTTGGCGGCGATGGAGGCGATGAGGTGTGCGGTGTCTGCGATGGCTCCGATGGTGGCTGTGATGGATGCGAAGATGCCATGTCTTGCGATGGATCGATGGATCAGATGATGCTATGGTTTGTTGGTATCATTCGTATGAGACAATGGTTTTGATGCACGCATTCATAGCTATATTAATGATAAGCTTTTCATTAAACGCTTTTTAATGAAATTTGTTTTAAAACTTATTTATCTGAACCACTATTTTAATAGTTTATGAAATTAGATAACAAGTAGTGCTTATGCTATGCGACCAAATTATGTAGAAAAACTCATCACAATAAATATATGTTGTATAATATAATTGAAGTCATCATAAAATGAGATTTTCAGATACAATCAAATTATGAACACTTTTATACGGAACCGATTGGAGAGAGAATCATAAAAAAACGGATAATAAATAAAAAGCAGTCAAATATACGGCAATAGGTTTGTGAACATAACTATTGTAATGGTTTCACAGGAATTCAGTTACGAATTGAGTCACGAATTGAGTCACGAATCCGCAGGTCTTTGGGATCGCGATTTGTCTCAAGAATTGAGTCCAAACACAATTGAGTGCAGAATAGTATGTGTGAGTTGTGTTGCCATTACTGGTTCCAGTTGTGGCACATCTATCGCCAGTTCCCCAGCATATCACCACTCACTGCCTCAACAGCACAGCACTGCCAATGTGTACGATTCTGGCGCACACTCAACACAAACACTCGCTTCCCATCACATTCTCATCACTATCTCAAGACATTACCACTCATCACATGAGCCATACATTCAATGCACTGCTTGTCTCACAAACACGTCTATAAACACGAGTCCAACCAATTCATGAAACTCTCGCACATTAAACACAATTTTTTTCTGTTAGTAATAAGACACTAAAGAGTTAACAATTCATATATCATTTCAACTGATTCTTTAATAAATTGGTTTATAATGTGATATTTTGTAATTTGAAAACATTTAACAGTATTTTTATAAATTAGTAAAAAACACGTCGAGATTCACGTAACACTACTATTGAGCACAATATTACGATAGAGTTGTGAATAAAGTTATCACAAACTATTAACACATATTTACAACAAATTCTTGACTACCGATACAATGCATATGCATTGAAATGACATTCAATTTTATAGTATAATCATATAATTCTTTATAATATAAATACAGTGCTAGTATACATAAGAATTTGAACTCAAAAATAAAATTTCCAAATTCTTTAATAATAATATATTCACTGTTAACTTATTCAATGAACTTAATACAGTTGTAGAGTTGACACATGTATTGTGTAAAGTAAATAAAGTGTAAATTATTTTTACCAAATATACGGCTCAACAGTAAAGCGAATAATAAAAGTTTATTGAATTATATCTGATTTGATCGTTTATACTAAAAATAATTGATTCAAATGACGTTTAAAGGTATTGAACCAACGCTTTATAGATATCACTATTAGATTGCAGTATTTAATGACGACTTTCAAACTTTTCTCTCGTTTGAGACAACAATTTAAATTATTATTAAATTTCATTCATTGAAAAATTGTGCGTAAATTGAGATAAAAGTTGTAAATAAACCAAATAAATGACAGGTTTTTCATAATTAATTATAAGGACTATTAGCAGAGCGTTAAGGCATTCAAATAACTCTGAAGGATGTCATCATTTCTATGACTCATGGCTTGAAAATTAAGCACAATTTGCATTCAAATTATTGATATAATCATCAAATTGTCCAAACAATGAAGACACAAATCCTTTTTATTGTCGTTCAATGAATTGTAAATCTTTTTATATCTATTTTCAGACATAAAATATGATTTCTGATTATATTTAGAAATACGTCAAAAAAGTTTAATGATATAATGATTAGATGATAAAAATAAACTCAAATATTTTTGTAATAAACACTATAATTTAAAATCAATTAATATTGTATTTCATAATTTAAGTATAAAAATAGATTTTAAAAGAAATACTGTATATTGAAAATATAAAAAAATTAAAATTAAAAAAATATGGCAATATATTCATAAAAACTATAAATTTATAAATTATTTAATTATTTTTAACAAATTTGCTAATCACCAAACAAAATTAAATTTTAATAATGAGAATAAATAAATTTTTTGTTGTATAATTTTAATATGAAAATAAATTTAAAAAATTAATATTTTCTATATTTTGGAAACTTCTGAGGAATTAATTGAGTCATTGGTTGTCTGTTTGCGTCAATGAATCTGAGCCTCAAATACTCGACTTATTTCTGCAAAACTGGCAAAATATCACAAATAACTTAACGATTCCTGTTTCACATGAAAGCTTATTATATGCCAATAAAAACAATACCAAATCAACCAAATTATTTTGTGATTTCATAGTTACCAATCAATAGGATACAAAATTATATAAGATTCATATTTTGATAATACAATCACATAGAATGACTTAAATATAGCTTTCATAAACATACCCTGAACAGTAAATGTGTCATTAAATGGTTTATGAATGGAGTGTTAGTTGTCTAAGAATTATGCACTTACAAATAATTCTGTATTACAGTATTACAGTAGGTTTGACCTATAAACCGGACTTACAAATACAGTATTGAATCAATATAAGAGTGAAATGCACATATCATTTCCATATTTTGAAATTTTTAAGTCAGTATATTGTACTAATAATACTAAATTACAGTATATCCGTATAACAGTATCAGTTTTGGAATACAGTACAAAAATAATTAACTGATATTAATACTTTTCACACCAACTTTTATGTAATAATGAATTTAAGGAAAACACGAATCAATACATACATTATAGTAAACCAATTCATTTTGTGATTTCAACCAAAATCGTTTGCACGGTTAGCTAATTTATTCTCACAATTCAAATTATTGTTACCACACAACTTATTGTCACCGTATATAGATTTCAGTATATTAACCCATTTAGTAATTATTATTCCAAGTAAAAAATAAATTATAAAATAGTCATTTTTGGTATAAATGAATATGAAAATGCAATCTATGAGTTACTATCAGTTGTCAAAGGGATGTGTGATTTAAAGTCAGTTGTTATCTGAAATTGTCATAAATAATAAACGTTGCTTTTAATGAATTATAATTTTAAAAACATGATTCACATTTATAAGGATTTCAAATTCAAGACTTTCATGGCTTTACAAAACTTTGTTATACTAATGAAAACAATATTTTAATCGTAAATAACTCGTAAATGTTGAAATATTGAATTTTAAATAAGTTATCAAACAAATAATTGAAGCGTTATTTTACTTCACATTAAATCAAATTAAAATCAATTACAAAAATGTTTAGAAAATTTTAAATATTGAATAAACGTGTAGAAAGCGGTTAATTATTAAAACTGAACATCACTTTGTTAGCTATCAATTAGTCTAGAAGTTTAAAAGTAGGTCTGAGTATGGATTTAGTGGTTGATTGCAATTCGTATAAATACTACAAACATTGTGTCCATTACTAGTCCTCGTCATCGGAGTCGTCCAATGCTGTCCTCCTTCTGTCATACTATCAATTGAGACCAAAATAAGTGTCAATTGAATGACAAACGCAAACAAAGAGTGTATTACTTTGACGGTTGTCTTTCTGGCGGTCTGTTCACTCACTTTCTCCAAGAGTCCAATCAAATCGTCTTCACATAACTACAGACCAAACAAATCAATTGAGATATGGATCACTGGATAGACAATCACGTGATGATCACCACCTTATTCCTGATGAGACCCATCCGAGTGTTTTGTATCAACAGATTCTCAACCATTTTGGCCTTTTCTGGTTTGGCCACCGATAGAGTGCTCACTAGATATACAGACAATCACAAGACATTAGACTCATTATCACCGCACGAGTGCTCATACGTCGAGCTCTGGCCGATTGATCCAACACTTGAGACAATATATTGTTTCTGAACTCTTCCTCTTTGGCCTGTTTTTGGGCGATGGCTTCGCTTTGGGACTAATTGGCAGACAATCGACACAAGGATTAGTCTTCAGAAATGGCATCAATTGGTGGCAAACCTGATCCTGTGGTCCATTACTGTGCTGCTGTTGCAGTTGTTGCAGACGTTTGGCACGAATGGTCTCTAAGTCCTGGTCGTCAGACATGTCTTGTAATCAAATGAAGTGATAATCAACTGAATGGCAGTAAAAGTAATCACGAAATGAAAGTCTCATTCATTGTAAACAACATGTGATTCATTGGATTGTTGTGAACGCCATCTAATGCTATGCAACAGTGCTCTCAATGTGTCCATAGGTTTGGTTCACAAACTTTGGACCAACTTTTGGATCTCAAACTTATGTCTAATTGAATGTCAAATTGAATGTTCACTTTAGTGGATATGAATTTCAGACAATTTATTCAAATAATTTTTATGACAATTGTAATCATATTAAAATAAAATCAAGTATTTAAGTCCTTCAAATAACAAGCACTACCGGTATATATTAGATAGGAATTAATTTGACCAAGGTTAAAGATTAATAATTTATCAAATAAATATATATTCACCAAAAGAAACTGGGCAATTTTACTAAATTTCTAATAAAAATTTGAACTTTATGGAATAATAATTTTACTTGTTAATAAAATATACAAATACAACTATAGAAAGAAAAGTCATTAAATATTAAAAATAATCCAGACTAAACCACAATTAGGAGTATGGGTTTGGTTGAACCTAAAATTGAAATCTAAAATAATCAATAAAAATAATGTAAAGATTATTACTATTATGTTTTCTAGATTGATAAATATTTGTGTAATTTGTTGATTATTGCATTTACAAGCTATTTATTATCTGCTATCACAGCATTCGTAAATAGAAAACATTTGTCTGTTTCCTAATTTTATGGCAAAATGCTACTACAGTACAGTATTTAGTTTATAATTCAATAATAAAATGTTTGCAATTAAATATCATATTAGTGGTAAAACTTTATTACCGTAAAAAATACTGTAATACAGTATAAAGTACACGAGAAGTGGTCAGAAGAATATTTGCTTATGAATTGAAATGTTGTGTCAAGAAATGTGACGATCATTGACGCAAGTCTTGAGAGATATGAGCGATAAGAGTATCTAATGGTATAAAAATAAGTGCATTAAATAGTAGTTTTGAGATCTTAAACCATTTTTTAATTGTTATCTCAACACCAGAAAAGCTATAATAATAATAAAAATAACACAAAATGCATTGAAAATCACTGTTAAATAGATATTTTCAAAACAATTATGTGGATTCTGAAACACTTCACGTTTATACCAATTTATCAACTATTTGTTGAATCAGTACTTAATAACTATTTGATCAGTAAGGCAAACCATAAAATAACAGGCAATTGATTAGGTTTTTATAACGATTATTAGTGTGTTATAGCAATTGAAATGTATGAGAATGCCTAATATAGAGACGAGGAATACCATTGAATCGGAATTGAATTTTGTTAACTTATTGGACACAACTTATTGTTTGTTAAAAGCTTATTGGTTTTGGTTTTATGTCAAGCTCGTCAAAACTACTAAAATCAATGTTTTAATTAGTTATTTTAAATTGTTTATATATAATGTTAAGGCGAGTGAGTATTAAATATGATAATGTTTAACACAGTAAATATGTTGTGTAAATACTAATTGTGCGATATTTTAAATTTTAAGGAATTAATAATAATAAAAATCAACGGAAGAACCTGTTACAATGGATTCGGACAAAGGTGCGAGGTCCATTCTTTGTTACCAATTTCACAGAGGACTGGAAGGACGGCATACTGTTGTGCGCACTCATTGAGGGCATAGTCCCGGGCAGTTGTCCGCGGTTTGACTTATTAAGTGCCGACAATGAGATCGATAACATCAATCTCGGACTCGCTCTCATCAAAAGACATCTGAATATCGATTCTGTGAGTAATCATTGAATTATAATCAGAAGAACTGATTTCTAACAAATATATCAAATGAATGATCAGACCATAGAATCTCATGAAATACATGACTGCAAAGAAGAGGCGAAATTTGTATATTTCCTCTCGAGAGTGAAATTTGAATCCATGAAACTCTTGATGAAATCACTCCTAAAGAGATCCATAATTCAGAAAAGAGATTCTTCGGGTGCGAGTCATATGATGTTTGAGTCGTTGTTTAGCGACGAAAAGGTGTGTTTCGCCAAAGGGATGGGTCTTATTCTGGGGGTCCGCACACGTAAGGCTCGGTTCAATATATTCTGCAAACCGACTCCTAAATTGAATTTAATGATTGAAATCATGGGTCCAAACAATACGATGTGTTCCGAGAAAATTGCTGTCTTTAGTCAAAAACGAAAATTTTCATCCGATGTGATCACCAAATCACTGATCGAGGACTTCCTCAATAGGAAGAAGTCGTCCGAAGACATCCTGAAGATCCCTTTCTTCTATGAAGTGTTTTCCAACAAAATTGTCGTCACATATATCCCACTCATGAAAGGCATTCATAAGCTGTCGATCATATGGCAGGGACAACACATCCTCAGCAGCCCCTATACAGTAAAAGTGGAGGACTGCTATATCGATCCTGTCAAACCATCGGATCAGATGAATGGCTCGATGTCGCCTACAGTATTTGTCCCCGGATTGCAATATCCGGTCAACGCATTGACCCGAAAAGAGTCCATTTCTTTCGATGAGTGCGCGACTGTTGTCCGCAGAAAAGTACTCAAACAGACGGTTGTTATTAATGGCACACAAAAGATATTTAAAGGTTTCGACAAAGAAAACACGATTCAAATCAACGAATTTAATGAGAATTATATAAATAATAAGTTAGAGACTCAAGATTCAGACCAGTTTCATATGAGACCAATACATTCCGACAATTTTAATAATCAATTAATTGATTCAAGAAAAATGAATACATTTTTATTGAATGAAATGGATAGAAATACAGAACTGAATGACATTACAGAATGTGAATCAATGAAATCTGAAAATATTGAATTGAATATAACACGAAAGGTTCAATACGTTGACAAATTGGATACTAAAAGAAAAGTGGATGAAATTGATAATTTGCCTAAAAGTTTTCAGACATATACATATACAGAAAATATCGAAACAGAAAATAATACAAATTTTTCATCAAATGAATCAAATCCGACAAAAGCCTTACAGATAGCACCCACTTATAGAAGCAATCAAATTGTAAACAACTGCTATAACCATGGATATATTCCGGTGAAAAACATGATTCAAAACTGGGAATTAAAGTTAGCGAAAGATGTGAACCAAACTAATGAACGCAAATATTATGATAAAAATAATTTCAGTGCCAAAACTCAGGTGCAGAACAAGTGCGAAGTCATGGAGAAGAGTAACTCATTTGTAGATTTGAAAGAAAGTGTATTCAATGCTTCAACAATTAGTTCATTAGGTGATGGAAAATAATATTTTAGATTTTATATTGAATTTCATTCAATAAGATTAGATATAGGAAACAGAAATTATCATAATTATTCAGAAATGAGTAAATTATATTTATATTACATTTACTTCTCACTGATCAAAACATTATTTATTTGTTTTTAACTTGTTTTCAATTTGACATACAGATGAAGACCACAGAGATTTAAATGAATATATTAACCAGGATGTAAATAAAAGGATAGATTTTGTTAAACTGGAAACGACATCAAACTCTAGAGAAATGAATACTGAATTCACTCAACCGTTAGAAACATCTCCAAAAACTCCAGAATCCCAGTCCGACAGTGGAGTCTGTAGTCATATACTCAATACGGATGCGATTCATCAAAATCTGTTGCGTCGAAAGAGCACGAGTTATCCCAATCTTAGGCTTACAGACAATAAATCTGTGGATACAATGGTTGACAATGAAGGGGACAATTCATGTCCTTCGGGGCAATACATTGACGATGAGATTCCCGATTACAGCAAACTGTTTGGTCACTACTTGTCTTATACAGGATTACTAAATACTGAGCGACCCATTAATTATGATGACATTAAATTTGATGAAATATTTAGCGATGACTTGAATGCAAACAAAGACCAAAGTTTGGCACAAGACTTGGGCATTTATCCCGAAAAATGTGAAGTGTTTGGTGCCGGAGCTTATTATGGTCAAGTCGGTGTCAAAAACCATTTTATGGTAATGAATACTTTTATGACAAAAGTGGGAATCAATTAAACTAATTGTCATTTTAAAGGTATCGACAAAAGACGGCGGAAAAAGTTATTTAGCGGTCGGCGTTCAGAGTGTGGACTCGGATGATGTCATTGAAGTGTCGTTCACTTCAATCGGACAAAACAGATATGAAGTACAATACGAAGTGTCACGACCCGGATATTATGTTATATTTGTGAGATGGGGTGACTATAATATAGCAGACAGTCCTTTCATCTGTAAAGTCACTTATTGAAGATCTTCTTAAATGCAAAATTAATTACTTTAAAACTTTATTTTTACTTTAATATATGAAACATATGCAAATATGTGCCAAATATTCACCAACTATTGCTGGATGCTCGCGCTAATTGCTTATATTTAAATAATTGATTTATTTATAAAATTTGATACTTTTGTTAATTACTGGTATATAAAATACATTTGTAAATAAAGATAATTTACAGTATTAAATATTAAAAGTAAACTCAAGTATCAATTGATAAAGAAATGGTTGAGCTCATAGAGCCTGTGAAGTGTATTCACGGGATCGCAACGGGTCTAATGTTGTCACTATTGTTATCATTAGCAATTCAGGTTTGTGTCACAATTTGTAGTTAAATTGTGTATTTAATTGTGAATACATGTCATGTAAGGCCAACATTGGATTCAGTTCGTCGACGTGTGACCCGAGTGGAGAGCACCTGGAGTCCGGCAGTACTAAGTGCGAGTACAACAACAACAGAATTTGGGCCCTTTCTCTCTTCTATTCTGGAGCCGTCATTGCCGTCATTGGATCCCTGGCCACCTGCCAAAGTAGCGGTTATCTACTCATAGTATATATGATACTCTATGTCGGTTGGATTGGAGTGATCGTTGGTTTAACTGTTCAGCGGATGTCTTCGAGTATGGATTCAATTATCAATGTTTAAAACTAATAATACTGTAATACTTGCCATCAATTTGTAGACAGTTTGGCAATGAATGAGGCGTTTAATACGATCACTGAAGAAGTGATTAGAGACAAGTGGGACCTTTACGCTCAGATTCTGCATCTCTGGTCTCATTTCATTAGTGTTGGGCCTAATTATGACCTTATATTTCATTTCATACAAACAACTCTAATTTTTGTCCACTTTTATTATCCCATGAATTTCTTTACTAAATTATTTATTCGTTAGTTTTCAATACGATTTTAATACTAAATATGAATTCCCATTTGTTGTAATTTTTAAAATAAATTTTTATTGTATGGATATTTCAAATTAAATAAATAAACTAGAATTTAAATTATTTATTCAATGTATTCAAACTTTTCAGTGAAAAGTATCACTAAATTGGATGTAAGGACTGATGATTACTCAGTCTTTTATTAGTATCTGAAACTAAAATATCGATCCAATGAAAGCGTTTGCGTATTGAATCAAATGACAAAAATATTGATGTTTTATTAAAATTAATTGTTATGTTATATTAATAACTGTTTATCATTTATATAATAAATATATTTAATATTTGCTTACAAATCAGTGTCTTTTAAATGAATTAATCTAGATATCTGTTAATTTGCAATGAATTCCGTGAATTGAATACAAATCTAAATGATATCCTAAATGAAACGAATTTATTTTGGATCAGAATCTTTAAATGTATTCAAACTATTTATGCTTAGAGGTCAGCATTCTCATTGAATTTGCATGTTCATTTGATTAATTAATATTATCAAATATAAAAACTATTGTGCAATTAAATGATACTACGAGTAAACGTATGTTATATTTATATGATAATAGGCTATATTACTGGTATTTCTAACACATGTCGGTCAATATAACCACAAACATATTCTCTGGCAATGTTCCAGAGATAAATCCAAAATTGTCAGGAATATTATCCAAAAAGTAATTCATTCAATCTTGACCATTCATTATAACGTAAACATAATAATAACAATAATAATGAAATGATCATGGTTGTTTTATGTTTTGCAGAAATTTATTCCAATATTAGACAGATATAGAGTACCAGTACCTATGGACTGTCCGTTTCATCCGCAACGTGATTACCTTTGGTGGCCAGACATTGAAGACGAGTACGAGTATGACGATGAGATCAGCTTCCAGTGGACCTGTCCTTTCTGTGGCTCCAATTTGTTAGCAACCAAATAATGCTTTCAAATGTAATATGATTTTTCTAATATATTTTTAACCTAAAGTCTGTGCGCCGAGCGATTAGCCATTCATTGGGACGAAATACATCGAAACGAATTCACACGGGTATTATTGCAATCATTAGTTTTATGAATCAATATTTTTGTTTATTAATCAATATTTTTGTTTATTAATCAATATTTTTCTTTATTAATCAATTGTATAATCAATAGTCAGAAGACTCCATATGTTTAGCAGATTTTTGCGATATTATGAGGTGTGATGTAATCATTGCAAACAAGCGTAAGCGTCGGAACCGCTTGCGATCTCTGGCCTTATCTAAAAACAAGACAGAATTCAATATTCAGACCAATTGTGATCCAAAACACATGAAATTCTTAGAGAATAAATGCGAGACAATAGTCCGTCAGTGCACTCAAGGCTTGATTACTAGCATCTCATCAAAAGATTATCGCGATATTGAATACGAGTTGATTGAAAGTGTCTGCTCTTACCTGACATGCGATCGATATTTGGACGACTATTTACATGAGGTTTGAATGTTTTTGGGGATATAATTGATTAATCATTTGTGCATAATTGATTGTGTATGCAAAAGCATTAAATATGTATTCATGTTTGTAGAATCAAAAGGTTTCGTTGAGTCTATGTATGGCAATCGGAATTGTAATGATTGGAGGTTTCTGTTTATGTTATTATATCGTTTGGATGCTATTTGAGTGAGTATTTCATCAAATTATCCATTTATTTATAACCATCTTATTATACAATTCGCTATAAACTCATTCCTCAACGACTTTATACGAGTAGTTGTTTTTAGTGCAATGTTTTGGCTATTTTTAAACCTCTTAACCTGGCTATTTTAACCTATTATCAAAACCTCTTACAAGTAGAGTGTGTCAAGTCAATCCCGAGTCTAATAGCCATTGCATTCAATTGAATAGTTTAATTGTTTCAAATGAAAAGTATGAAAAGCATATTTGTATTGTTGTTCCCCACCTACAGTTCCCAAAACACTTCACCATCCGATTAATACAATTGAAACGTTTCTCAATTTGTATTTTTCTCATTCAATTCAAAGTCTCATCAACTGATTGCTAAGTCTATAGCGTTGTTGAATTAAAGTCAGGTATAGGACTATAGTTTAGCTGATTATTATGTAATAATAGTGTCTTGAATAGCATGAAAGCACTCGTAGAGCAACCATTAGTACTGTACGTAGACTTCCATGCATTGTCCGGATATATAAATTAATGACTTATTTGTATTAATATATTTTAAAAATATGTTTATCATTTCTACTCTTACAGTAGTAGAATTAATACTGTATTCAAATGTATTATAAAATTAATTATTTTCCATGAATTTTGATTACTTATAAGGAATTATAGCATGAAATGAATTCAACTCCTAAGTGATTATATATATATTCCCTGAGTTAATTATTTTGTAGATATTTATTCATAGAATATTTTCTCATAACGTTAATACTATGTTGATTTCAACTTGTGTTGGGATGAGTTTAAAATATGGATATTATTTGAATTTCAGTTGAATACGAGTTATTTATATTTATATTATTATTAATGAAAAATTCTTTTGATGCATTTGTCGTAAAGTAATTTATGAAGTAATTATCATTTATTGAATTCATATATGAATTAATATTTTGCAAATTTCAATTAATTATTAATAACCAAAGTTCTGGATATAAATCGAGAGCTGAGATCATGTCACGCGAATGGGTAGAGGAGGACAACAGCCGTAGTATTTCGTACGACAGGAAAGATGAGCTAAAATTAAAACAAAGTATATCTGAAAGTGAGAGCATTAGTGGTGAAGAGCACACCAATCGTCCAAAAATTATGATCACTTCTCCGTCTGCTCACCGACTCATTAGATCTCAAGCCATTCATTACTACCATCCATACCATCCAAACCATCGCCAACACAACCAGTACTCCAACATAGAAGAGGACAGTTGGGAGAGTTGTGTGGACGTGCCCTCCAGGACAGCCTTTCCTACTACAAGCTCCGACACCACTGCCGCCGCCATTCACTCGATGCCAGAGAGCGTCTCCCGGGCCTCGTCTCATACAACCAGTCAATCAAATCAGTCCAACCCTTACAACAGATAACATAATCATTTTGATTCTCACTTTTCAAATACAATGCCTTTTTCACTGTCAAATGTATTGACAAAACTCTTATACATTATGTATGCATTATTTTTTGCTCAGTTATCAAGACCATTTTAACTCAATACTATACTAATAATTTCCATTATTATCATATATTTTAAAGTATTTAAAAAATATTATATTGTCAACAATCAATTATTAAAGTTTTAAACAATCAAAACATTAATAAATTCTTCAATTATTTCAATTGATAAACTCCACTGATAACTGATTTTTTATTTATTAAATATAAAGAATAAATAAAAAAATAACTTTAATTTATTCAAAATGTTTAATTAGATTTGAATATTTATTTCCAATATTAGGTTGAAATTAAAATTTTAGAATAATAGTAAAGTTTACTCTATTGTACTGTAAAAATAGTCTACTGTATTTATAAATAATAAGAATATTTTTAAGTATGAATAAGGGGGCAATTAAAATAATTAAATTTAGAAAATAACAGAATTTTGTTTAATTTTTATTTTATCAAAACTAGTAATATACAAAGGAATAGGAATTTTAATAATATCCTAAAATAATAATAATTGTTTATTATTTTAAAAACTGATGTAATTAAAAAGAAATTTTGCTCAATTTCAAAGAATTATATTTTAAAATAATAATGATATGGATTGTATTACATAAAAACAATATCTGATTTAGTGATTGAAAATGGTATTTTCTATAATACTGTACATACAATCGCTATATACTGTAGAATTGAGTGCAAGTATTACTTAGAAATTTTATATAAGATTACATTTTTTCAAATATCAATATAGTTTGTGAATCTCATCAAAATCCAACTATAGATGCAGTTTTAAAATGTTTGTATAATTCCCGAGTACTTTGAAATGAAAATTTATTGAGGCGTCTCTAAAAAGTTTTGAAATATAGTTTTTCTTTCTTTTTTGTGTATTTATATATAAATATATAAAATCTCTTTTCACATAATAAGCACGAACTCATTCTCGGAGATTTATAATAATATATTTTTAATAATGAACTCCTCTTCAAGTCCTCAACTGATAAATAATACAAAACCAAATCTTTACGTATTTTATAATAATTTAAATTTGTAGCCTTGTAATTTTGTAGCCTTACAACGAATTTTATTAAAACATTTAATAATTAAAATGCTATAAATAAAGGATTTATCTTAATAATTATTAATAAAATTCTCAATTAATGTGGTTTAAATTGATAAAAGTTAAATAATATTAATAAATGATAATTTCTAATTATTTTAATTGAACCTTGTTATATGGATGTTAATAATACTGTGCATATGGGTGTATATATATTTCTTTAATTTTAATTAAGATAAAGTAAATTACTGATTAAAATAATTAATTTTATAATCTCTCTCTCTCTCTCTCTCTCTCTCTCTCTCGAGAGAGAGAGAGAGAGAGAGAGAGAGAGAGATTAATTCCTCTTGCCTATAAAACTTGTAAATTAAATTCTATACAAATTTACAAAATGGCTGAATCTAAGAATTTATTGGCAAAATTTATTAAAGAAATTTTACAATATATGAGAAAATGTGTTAATCGCTGGAATGAAAATAGTGAAATTGAATTTGGTGTAAAAATGTATAAAAGTCTAGTTGAGATAAAATAATGATGGGACGGGTGATAACTAAAATGGTTTCCAGAGATTACGAATTTTAAAAGGAGAGAGACTTCATAGACAATAATCGATGGATTATATTATATATGAATTTTAAGAGCATTTTTGGGAAAAGGAAAAACAAAATCGATAATTGTTTTGCAAATAAATCGTTTGGTGGCACTCAAGGAATCATAGAAAATGATAAAAAAACAAAATTCTTTGAAATTAAATGTATATAAAAAATACAGTGAAATGTGTAGAGAAAATGAAGGGAAGGGAGAAGGAAAGGGAGGGAATGTTTGAAAACACTGGTGAATGTAAAGTGAGTTTGTTTTTTTAAAGTCCAAATTGCAACGTAAAAACACAACAAATATTTTGAAATAAATTTGTAAAACTATTACATTTGAAAGTATTATTGGAGATAAGATTGCGATATAAGTAGTGTTTGGATATAAGTGAGAAAAATAAAGAGCTTTTTCTTGTAAGGATGTCAACAGTGATTGGCGTAAATTTTCACAATACACCAAATCCTTTAAAATTGTCAACTTTTTTCAAAACTGTAGCCAACACTAGATGAGACACTCACACCCAGACTAACAATTGATCCGTTTTAGTGATGCCTTCAATACCATATTCATGATAGTAATCAACTCTCAAACGCTTATATTCCTCAATGAATTACACAATCAGTGCTCGCAATTGCCTTCAATCACTACACCTTAAAACTGTCATACTTTACATTTAGCACAAAATTGCAAAATTATTTCCTAACATACTTAAAATTGCAAATACTGTATAGGCTTTTGGAATTTAATCGAGAATATTCTGTACTTTCCATTTTGTAATTATATTTGCACAATTCCAAGTAATGTCATAATAAAATGGATCTATTAAATTTATTTTAAGGAGTTATAATAATAAAGTAAAATGTTTTGTTTAACAAGAATGTGGACAATAAATTACAATTTAGTTATCGATCGCCAGATTCTGTATGTTTTATTTTAAATTAATAAAAAGCGAGCTTAAAAACACAGCCTAAGCTTTTTTTGAGTTTAAAGTTTGTGTAATCAAATTTTACATGAAATTAGATTATATAATGTTTGATATTTGCATTAAATTTTGTTTTTTATAATATTATTTATTTATTTCTCAGGAATGGCATCAAAATCATGCACTGAATCTAATAAGAATTGACGAAATTTTATTGGATTATAAATTAATGGATTTCTAGTGAAGAAAAATTGATTATATTTAGGTTCACAACAAAAAAGTTTTATGTCTTACGTCAATGGAGTCTCAATTTATAACTTTTGCATTATTCACAAAAAATCTAAAAATTACTTTCCTATCCATTTGTGATCGAAAACTAATGGCGCGAATAAAAGCAATTATAGCATTAAAAATAAATCATCAAATTTTCATATAATCTACTCATTAATAAATAAGTATCGCATATCAGTTTAAATCAAGTAATTTATTATATATCACTCTTGATGAAACATTTGTATTAACGTTTTTTTAGTTGAGCGAAATTAATGACTTTTTGTAAAATCTAATATAATTTAGATAAAGCTCTAAATTTTCAATTTATCAAAATTTTAATTAAATAAAATAAAATAAAAGCTTTATTAAGGAGTAAAATCGTTGCCAGACTTGGAGTTCAAGAGAAATAAGAAAAGATTGATCAGAGAATTGGATTCAATTTGAAAGCAAGTGCTCAGAAAATAGCACTTATAGTATGTCTCATATGATATAATACTTATATTATACCGAAAATTAATTACTTTGAATTCAAACTTTTGACAGATTTTTATTGAAAAAATTGGATTTGAACTGAAAAGAAGTGAAATGAAAAATACTATTTTAGAGTAAAGTCTCGAGTATTAAAGTTTCAGTCGGTTTCCTATTTCAAACAAAACCTCAACAATTTATTAAAACAATATATTAATATTTGTTCAAATTATGATTAAATTTTAAGTTTGTATACTTAATAATTGTAAATTTTGTACTGTATAAACTATTATTATATTTATGGTATTATGGTACTATACTCTATAAAGATTCCTGAACATTTGAATTTAAAACTTAAAATTCAAATTGGAAAATAATTGAAGAATTTTGAAATTCGAGTCTATATTAAGTGATAGTATTATATTATAGAGAAAAATATAATGGATTGCAATAATAGTTGAGTTTAAGAGTAATAAAGAAAGTGCAGTATTCGTATAGGGAAAGTAATTTTGTTGATTACAGTTTGCAAATTAACATATCGATCATTGCTTTCCATCCGATTGGCATTAAATCCAAATTGATTTTATTTGTCTGTTTTGGCAGAACTAATCATTTCTTAACAGTCCTTACATTACAATTAATGAACGAAACGTTGTTTTATTTTAAATAAGAATTGAAAACAAAGTTTGATTTCATATATTAGTAGAGTATAGGAAATGCATAGTTATTATACTGTAAGTCAGGAAATTTGATCGAAATGTAATAAAAGGAGGGAAAGGAGGGAACGACACGACCGACACAACCAACACAAGCGACTCAAAGAACTTAAGATTCAGACGGGAATAATGAAAAGAATGAGAGAAATCGTTAGATTAAGTCTCTCTCTCTCTCTCTCTCTCTCTCTCAGTATTGCAAATATTTTTGCTTTTGATTGACTTTCCTAATGGTCTTTATGTATAAGAAAATGATTAAACGCCTAAATCAGAGCTCAATGGCTGCATAACTAAACGATTAGAGTCATGTCCATAATGAAATGATCTACCAGTGCCTACCAATGCCTACCAGTGCCACTACTGATTGTAAGAGAACCTGACTCCATGGAAACCTACATTTCTAATATTCAAGTTTTCCCTTTAAAAATGGCAAAAGCTTTTAATGTTTAGATTATTCTTCTGTTGCATCGTATGACCAAAACCAAAGGCACACATCAGCGCCGGTATATAAGCATCACTTTTGTATATTTCGTATATGTATGGGCACTCCATTCACTGCCTTCAGGACATATTCCGCATAAATATAGTTAAGCATTGCAAACGACAGTCTAGTCTAACAGTTTGAGAGAGAGAGAGAGAGAGAGAGAGAGAGAGAGAGACAAATTCATAGGGAACAGCATTTGCACATACAATGAGAATACGTATAAACTTTACTTTAATACTAACTTTTTTATTCCTCTTGTGTTTCTCCCACATCTCCCACACTATTATATATTGTTTTATTGATTTGTCTGAACGTCTTCTCTATTTTAATCCAATTTTACAAAAAAAAATTATTTGGACTACAAGTGAACGATTGGAGTGAAGTAATTTTTCATAGAATACTGTATAAAGTTCATG